TAACAATCACTCCCAACAACATTATTTTAATCATATCAGGAACTCTTATTTTCATCCCATCATTTGGTTTTACTTCTTCTTCTTCTTTTCCTCCTTCTTCTGTCTCTTTGGTTGAATCGGTGGTACATTTGGTAGGCTTGCACTTGCGCATCGACGTCAACGTCACTGTAGACGTCACCGTTGACGTACTTGTCACCCATGTATCTGTCGTCTTGACTAATGTACACTGTTCTGTTACTTTTCCTCCACCTACTGACTCGGTTACCGTAACAGTCTTCTCAACGGTCTTCACATCAGCCTTGTCAATGGTCTTTGTTTCCGTCATCGTAACTGTCATGGTTTCTTTTATTATTGTCTCTGTATGATAAGGCGTAACTTCTAATGGTTTTATTCCTTTGCATAACGTGTCTATTTCTCCGCAAACTTGTTTAGATTCCTCACATTCCTTTCTAAAACCGCAATCTAGTTCTAAAGCTTTACATTCCTCTTTCAATTCCAAATACAACTCCATTGCTATTGCCGTGTCATCAAATGCTTTTACCTCTGCTTCTGATACTTCTACAGCTACATATGCTCTTTTAACGAGTCCAAGTTTTGCATTGTTCGTCATTCCACTGCTTGGTGTTCCACTTGATGTAGAAGATGATTCTGGCGATGAAGGTGGCCCTGCTGCTGGTGCTGCTGGAGGTGCTAGTGGTGGCTGTGCTGGTACAGAACCACTGCTATTCTGCGCACTTGGCGTTACAGTTTGTCGAGGTATCGATAGCAATAAGTTAGCTTTCTTCCTAGATTCTTTTGCCACCTGTTTGGCCTTTTCGTATTCATCTTTCTTATCATTCAACTCTTTTTTCGCTTTATCCAAATCGATTTTTAAAGTAAGACATTTCTTTTTTACTTTTTCAACTAATTTTTTGCAAACATCTTCCTTGGTAGTATCATTACAATTACCAAGCAGATCATTGAATGTTTGATTTGATGCATCTTTCCACCTAGCGCAACGCTCTCCTAATGCTACTTTACATTCATCTTTCTTGTTTAAACTGCCTTTCAACTCATGAGTCAGCCCATCCTCCAATTGTTTTTTCTTCCAGAATGGCTCACAGTTCTCTTTCAGTTGTAAACAGACTCCTTTCCCATCAGCGCTACTGGAATTATTTTTTAATGTCTCTGGACAATTCTCCATAAGTTGATCACAATATGGATCCCATAGTACGCAGGTTTCTTCAACCAATGTTTCATTTAAATCTTTAGTTTTATTCACAATTTCATGTTTTTCCAGGTTCTTTTTAAAAATATTGCAATGATTCTTAGCTTCTGAAACCATAAATTTACATGTTTCCTCTGGTAAAGCACATGAAACATTATATATATTCTTTCTCCTTCTAAATAATTTATCACATTTCTCCTTCAAAGCTTTCATGCATTTTTCATTATCCGCTAATGCATCACTTTTTTCTTTCAAAAACGCATATTTCAGTTCTTTTGTAACTTTAAAATATTCACATCGCTCTTTCAATGTAACGCATTTCCCATTATTTAAACCTAAATCTTTCAAAACACCTTCACAATCCTCTTTCAATTTAATACAGTCCTTTTCTAATGGAAAATCCCTTTGATCATCCAAAAGCACACCTAACTCTTTGGATTGAAGAAAAATATCATCTGAAAGCAGATAACATAGTTCTTTAGGGTAAAGACACTTTGGAAGGTATTTTTTATCAAGTTTTGTACACTCTTCTACCACAAATTTTTGGCATTCTTCAGGATTGTTATAATATCTTATATAACCAAGCTTTCCTTTCAACCCCTCTCGAAAGAGTGTATTCAAGACCCTATATTGTCCTTTTTTATAGCACGCTGCTCGTACATTTTGACATGCTCCGTCAATATTATTCGTACACGCATTTTCTAAATAGAAACATTCCGACTCAAGTTCTGCACACTCTCCCTTCGTAAATAATGTTGGCAGCTGTCCCCACAATAAAAGTTCTGATTTTACATTATCATATTTTGTAGACAACCCTTTCACATGAAGATTTAATTTGAGTTTTGTACATCTTTCTTTTACATCTAGTAATTTTTTGCATTTTTCGGTTTTAGTAGTTTCATTTTTACATAACTCTTTAAAATTATGATCCAAATGCTCAAAATCATTACATTTTTTTAACGCTTCGGTGCATTTACTTGCTACATCCATATTATCCTCATCTTCGCTCAACACTAGCAAGAGATCTTGCAGAAAATCATCACCAAACCTTCTTGGTAGATCCACGCCTACTTTTCCAATAATAATTCCATCTTTTTCAGCTTTTTTATAGACATCTTCCAACCCAATCATTGTCAACAACGACACCCTCGGTTTCACCGGACTAAAATCAGATCCTGGCGCTTTATATATGACTCCATTTTTCTCGCATTGCTCCTCATACACCTTACACTTTGAACCATCACATGCTTCTCCATAAAAATGACATTTCTCAAGTCTTTCATAGCACTTTTCCTCTAATTTGTCACCTTTAAGCTCTTCTTTTAAAGGCTGGCAAATTTCTTCCAATTTCTCTTTCAGCGTATTACACGTTCCAGTCGGATTAACGCACAAAAACATCAACTCGTCGCTTTCTCGGCTTAACACTGGGCAAACCTTTTTCATCTCTGCTTGACATTTATCTTCTTCTTTAGCTTCCTTTCCGAGCGCCCTGAAAAGGAGCTCCTCTGCCACATTTTCACGCTTCAATTTGTGACATCCTTCCCTCAAGTTGATACAGTTCTCCTTAAGATTAGTTGGGTCTGCATCCTCTAAAAGTATACATTTTTCTTCATATTTTTTACAATTTTCATCTTTTGTCTCTTGCAATGCTTTTTCAAGTTCCGTTTTAAAAGTTCCCAATACTTTTTTAACTTCGTCTTTCAAGTCTGCGCATTTTTCGTCTTGTTTTCCTTTTTCACAAAGTCCTTTAACTATAGTATGAACTTTATTTAATCCTTGATCTATATCCCTTAATTCTTTACAATATTCCTCAAGCTTTAGTTCGCATTTATCTTTATAATCTTCTTTCAAAATATAAGCAAGGATTTCTTCTTCCTTAACAACAAAATCCTTAAACGGTGCAATTTCTGCGCTTACTTGAGAATCTCTGGCTTTCAAATACGTGTTTTGATTGCCATAAGTAGGAACTATAAATAGTTAAAAATAAAAATAATCCAAAATATAATCACCAATTAAAATCAATATTCCTAGAACTATAATTTTATTAATTATGGAAAAAAACATCTT